CATAAAAAGATATAATGTTCAACTTGATGACTTCCTCATAATTGAAAAGACAGATAAAAAGAGGGATCTCTCATTAAATACATGTTTCGAACATTCATATAAAATCCAAAAATACATATCAAACTCAACATCAAAATATAACCAACCATGTGTTTCAAACATACCGGTCAAATCCAAAAATACATATGAATGGCGATCAATATCAACCATATTTTTTACTTAACATTTGTTTAAAATATACATATCTAAGACAAAAATAAAAAAAGTCACTTTTTTCGCCGCAAATTCCACCTCGATTCCTCATGCAACGCTAGCACTTGAAAGAGATCAGATTTTTTCTTTGTTCTTCTTTAGTCATCCTCTTCTCTATCATCATCCTGTTCTGCCTCATCATTCTCGTCTCCATCATCATCCTCTTCTTCGTCATCATTGTTTTCTTCTCCATAATCATCGTCTTCTTCTCTTTCACTTTCACTTTGCACATCTCCACCTATAGTCCGCGTTGTCTCCTCGTCACCTGTCTCTACAGAAGTGTTATTCAATAGCAGATCATGAGCCGCCTGTATATAACGCTTGGATTCCCCGGCTAATACTTCATTATTAAGTGCAACTTGTAGCAACTCTATACAGATATATTGCTGCAAAGTAGAGAATGAAAAAAAACAAAATTGACCATTAGACTTATTTTTCATAATTTTAAGATATAGTAAGATGATAAAATAAGAATAAATTGTAGTACTCTGCAATTTCATGTAACTCCTCATATGGTTGCCAAGTCACCTACAAAAATAAGCATGAGACGTTATGAAATAACTAACCACATATTGATTATCTACTAAATTATAAGCACAAAAGCTAATAACTAACCATATCAAACGAAATGTTATCAAATGAGATGTTTTTGTGGCATGCTTGTTTCTTCCACATGCAAGCCTTAGGCATTCTTGGGCTTATGACCAATGCAGGCTTGGTGGCTAGAGCTCAAAAATGCTCATAGATCCAACACTGTAGAATAAGTTAAAAGTAAGAAGCCAAAGATAGTGAGAAATTGTAATATTCTAAAATTAAATACTAAAGAGAGTAAGAAATGCCTGTAGTAAGGTCGTTGACCCACTAAAATGATTATTTTCCCCACCGGCGACCTTAGACAACGAACGATACAAAAAAGCAAGCGTCGTAGCACCCTATGCATATTTCCATGCCTCACCAAAATCTCAAAACAATTGTAAGTATATTGATAGCATTGATCCTTTAGATGAGTCGACAAATATAGTTGTGCCGACTAAATAAAGGAGATATGCTCACGTATGTTGCGTGAGTTATAATTTGGTTGGCTTTTTTGGTAGTTGGACGAATCGACTCCTCAACCATATATGTTTGAGACGCATCGAGGTGACGTTTTTGGGACAATCTCCTAGATACTCCTTGACGAACACAACATAGTCTTTTGGCCTGATGCTAGTTACAAGCTCACCCATCATGGGTATCCTTAATATCTGCCACACATCGTATAAGGTTGGAGCCATTTCACCAATGCTTAGAAATGTAGTATTCGTGTTCGTGCACCATTTCCCTATAAATGCCCTTATTAGATTGCAATCGATATATGATACCCCAATACATGTGCATATCCAATAAATGAATTTCAACTATGTGTTTCGACTAGATATCCAACCATGAGCTTCAAATATAGTGCATATCCAATAAATGAATTTAAAATGTATGTACATATCTAATAAAAGAAGTCAGATAGCATACATAAGAAGTTAGAATGCAATTTGGCAACGGGAAACACTTGAGAAAGAGATGAGTCATACTCATGAGAAAAGAGAAAACACAAATCAATAGCATATCCAATTAAAAAGAGAGAGAAAAGTGGCATATCCAATATATGTAGTGGAAAAAATTTATGTACTGACAAAATTTCTCACAAGTGGGTGCTACAATTTAAAAAGACAGAACAAAGAAGATAGCTAAAAAAAATGCCTTCAACTGGGTGCTTTACAAGTTGCCATGTTGTGACCAGTTCCTTTGCACTTACTACAGTGAATAAGTTGCACTGGTACTTCTTGTGACTCGATGCGCTTCTTTTTAGGTCGATCAGGGGGCCGTCTTGAGTGAGGTGGAAGTACTCTTATTCCATCTGGAAGAAGTTGTCCATGCATACGCCCATATAGATCGATCAAGGTAACTGACACGATAAGAGACGAATATGTTTCATGAAACTTTTCAACCGTGAAATAGTCTTCACAATAGTAAATGGGATCCCTATTCATCCATTGAAGGCATTTACAAACATGTTTCCAAGGCAAACCTGTTATTTGGCAACCCTAGCATTCACATTCTCGTGCAATTATATCTACCTTGTAATTCATGCGATCACCTCTTGCTTCAAACCTGCTCCACTTGATACACTGACGCTAACTGAAAGGCACTTTTGCATGTGCGGGGTAAGTGTTGTACTCCATATTTCAGCTTCCAAGATTCGGGTGGCCATTAGTTTTATGATTTGTCTTCTAATCAAGTCAAAACACTAAAGAATTGGTATATCTCGTGCTTCTAGAATCCACTTGTCATATGACTCAACCACATTTGTTGTTACTCGGTTATATCGTTTACCCCTGAAGAGTGATGTGGCCCAACGGTCTGGCGATGCTTCTATGAACCACTTGAATGCAGCCTCATAAATTGACCTAATTTCATTCATCTTCTCAAAATACTCGTGTGGCCTGTATGCTCTACATGCTCCCACAAAATATTTAACAATTGCCATCTTAATATCATTAGGTATGTCTTTTGCTTCCTTCTTGAAATTCTCCGCTAAATGAGGTTCACAGAAGGCCAGGGTGTCTATTGGACAAAAAAATAATTTCACGATCTGTCCCAATAGCAATCTTTAGAGATTCTATCACACGAATTACATATACAGGTAACTGGTTGTATGCTTCCTTTTGTGAACCATGTATGTCTTTGATGACCGTTTCTTTCTCTTGCCAAGCCCTGCAATAGGGCATTTGTAGCCCATAATCTCGAGATAAATCATTCATGATTTATTTAGCTTTGTAATGCACGATGTCACTTAATTATCCTTGATTAAAGATACAATAAATTTTTGTGACGCTCTTTTCTGTACATCATTGTTTGTCCCAATATTACATGAATGTTCTCTGTTCCATGTTTTGATGCTAAAAATATTTGTCTTGCCTAATTTCGAAACATATATTTTCCATTTGCATCTGTCACCATTGCATTTTGCCCTTATGCGGTACGCCTCATTTTTAACCAGATGGTATGTGAAAATGGTGGGGCTATAACAAACTTGCTAAGGGCTTTTCGGAAGTCATCTAGAGACTCAAATTGTTGCCCTATATCGGTAAGTGCATCCTCCCATGAACTAAGCAACCTTGGTGTATTACTTTGTTCAGAACTAGAGAGCAACAAATTAGATCTAAGAGGGGGTCTGACCTCTTCAAATGCCCTATTATTACGTGAAGTACTTCCACCCCTTTGTTCACTCCTATCAAATACATCTAAAAAGAGATTATTCTCTCTTTCATATACATTTAATATCCTCTCAATATCATTGTCAATTAATACATTCACAAAAAATCTTCTATTTCTCGGGACAAAATACCTCAATGATACCAACTGTATATCTAACGAGAAACGCTCTGCTATGCATTTTCGTAGGTCATCTAACCTAGTTCTACTTTCAATCATAAATGTGCATGTATCACCACCAATATAATCCAAAGTCCCATCGACATTTGATTTGACTTCTCCACAAAAAATACAATAAATCAATCTGCTATAACTCATTTTCTTTTATCCAGCACAAGATTTGTAATAATTTACACCCCACAGTTAAACAAACCCAATGATTATCTAAATACAAAACTAATGACTTTATGGATTTAAACATAGAGGCATGGGAAGGAAATAATGGAAGATTTGATAAGAGTAAAATCAGTGACAACCTGAAGTGATCAATCCATAGAGGCATGGGAAGGAAATAATCCCTGAAATTCACACTAAAAAGAGATGCATGAAATAGGGTAAGATTCACAAATTTTATGTCCAATAATGCAGATAAGTTCGAATAAGAGTTGCCAAAATGCCAACAAAAAACTTGGGGACTATTTTACCCCAAGAGAAATACAATGGCTCATCAAGTAAGAGAAAAACAATGGCTCATCAAAATAAGAAACAATGGCTCATCAAGGCAATGGCTCATCAAATAAGAAACAATCAATGCAAAGAAATACAATACAGCAAAACAAACTCCAAATTTACAACCACCAAATACATTTAAGCCCTAAAATGACAATTTACAACCACCAAATACACTTAATCCCTTCATTGTCAATCACAGTAAGCCCTAATAAAATTCCACGAACAATCATCATACTACATTTTATAGTGATTTCTTTTTTTAAATCTGATATATATTTTTACAAAAAATAAATACGCCTGCTGATTTGGGTTGAAAGATAAGCTCAAAATCGAGCTCAGGCTTCCTCGGTTCGAGCTCGAGCCCGGCTATCTTTCGTTGAGAGGGAGAGACATCGGTTCAAAATTGAGCTTGGGCTTCCTCAGTTTGGGCAGAGAGCGAGGGTGGGAGCTCATGGGGGACAGAGAGGGAGGGAGTTCAGGGAAAATCAGCGAAGAGAGAGAGAGAGGCGTGCGTGGTAAGGAGGGTGTGGATACAGAGAGGGAGGGAGGTCGGGGAAGTTAGCGCAGAAAGAGGCGTGTGGTACAAAATCGGATCGGTAAAATGCTTTGGGTTAAAGGTAAGAGAGTGAGAAGGTAGTTTAAGCATTTTTTTTTTTGATTAGGGGGTATTTGCCATGAAAAATATTTATGGGAAAAAATATGAGAGAAAAGGTTGGCCGGGTAACTTGCACGGATATTATATCTCGGCATTTTTATTTTCCCAAAACTCTTCCCCTCTCTCTTATATTGAAACTCTTCCCTCTCCTCTCTCTTATAAAACTCTTCCCTCCTCTCTCTTATTAAAACTCTTCCCCCTCTCTCTCGTTATAGGTCCTCTCTCTCTCTCTCCCCTTTTCCCATACGTTCCTTACCGTGGGCTCTCTCTCTTATGAAATTCTGGTCCGTCTTTCTCTCCACTTTTCCATTACTTTCCTTACCGTGGTCTCTCTCTTATAAAACTCTCCACTTCACTCTTGTTATTTCCTTCTCTCTCCACTTTTCTCTCTTGTTATAGTTCCTTCTCTTATGGCTCTTCGAGCACTGGCGGCGATGCCCCCTCTGAAGCTTCTTCTTCTAATGCCTCTTATTCTCTAGAAGGCCCAAGAGTTTACTTTTTGCCCTACAAGAATTGATTTGTTTCTTTCCCCTCTAATTCACACTCCATGAATTCTTTGTTGGCTGTTTATTCTATAATCTTCTGAATCATTTTCTCTGTTCAATTGCGATCCTATGTTTGGGTCAATGAAATGACATCCTAAATCTGAGAAACTCATTTTAGGGTCGAGGGGTCCCAGCAAGAAAAGTTTTCCATCTTTTAACCTCGACTGTATAAATGGCTTCTCATCTCTATACTTATGATATTTGTATGAAATGGATATTTCTTCGGTTTGTTTTTATTATGCGGCCTTCCTTTTTTGGCAATGAGGTCGAGTGGCTTTCTGGTGTGGCATTGTAAGTCATGTGTAGCTGGCTAGGCTTCTTCACTTCAAATTTGAGTGATGGGTGGCCATTGGTCATTATGCTCTCAGGGTTTAGTTTCACACAAAGTTACAAACACAACGTGATGCATACCTAATTTAAGATTCTAAATGGGTCTATGTTAACACAAGCCACATGCATTTTTTTTATTAATCTTCATTAGTTTTTCTATTATCATTGATTTTAAATCAGAGTCTTTTCTCTGTTATTTTTCTTGACTTTCTTACCTGGATCTACGCAATAGTACTCCTTAAACAATCATACTGGAGTCAGATAGAGTTTATCTTTTTCCTTCCTAATCACCAAGTGTTGCATATGATTATTTCAAACTCAAGGTGGTGGAAAGAAGTGGAGGAGTCTGGCCCCAACGAAGACATGGATGGAAACGTTGGCATTTTGTATAATGCATCCCTCCATCCGAATGAAGGTGCATCAAAGTACTTCAATTACTTTAATAGTGACATACTTTTTTATCTGAAAAGGGAAGATAATACCTTGTTCTCTGAGCCCAATGGAGAATTTTTCCTGGACAAGGACTGTGTCTTGCTATCTGAGAACATGTGGTTGAAGTTATTGAAATGGTAAGACTGGTTTACTTTCATGTGTATGTATTTCTCTGTCTGGTATACTTTCTAATTGTTGTTCTTAATAATAAAGGGACTATGATTACAAGAAATATGTATCTTCTTGGGAGATCATAAGATGAGTGAATCTGTTATACTCAATACTCGTCGAAGATATACTAATAATGTAAATCACATCAGTGGTTACTGTAGCTTATAACATTACACTCATGAAGTTGAGAGTACTTGGAATGTTATTGAAAGAATGTGTAATTGGTAAAATTTGAGCAGTTATATGAAAGAGTTTTAAACATGTTTTTTTCTTTTTTTTTGGGGATTTAATATGCTGCGATGAATATGAAAGTTGCTATTTGTCTTTTTGTTTTGTGGCTTTGATAAGCTATTTTTTAAAGTATCTGTTCTGGGGAGATAGCAACTTCTGTTTTGTGTCGTATACTTGTTTTTGCTTGTATTAGTATGGACTACCTCTGAGCTACTGTAGAAACTGATGGACAATCTCGTTGAACTTTATACTTGATTTTGATGAGATAGACTTTGTGTGTGTCTATTTAAAATTTAATAGATGTGAATTTAATTGTAAAATTAATTATTTTGTTAATTTATGAAAATTTGCACTATCGGTTTACCTTATCCATTTAGATAGCTAGTGCATCAAAGGGGGACAAGTTGTGAAATGAGAGTGAGACGACGATTAACTGGAACATTTGGAAGAAGGATAAAGTTTAAATGTAGAATTCAACTGTGACGAAATGTTCTTTTGAAAAAGACAAAAAGAAAAGTGTGTTAAAATTGGGTAGGCAAATCTGGTCATGTCACCTGCAAAATGTGAAGGGATCTTCATGGGCATTCTGTTTGTGTCTGTTTGTGACCAAGAATTTTCTGTATAATTTCTACTACTATGATGTTGTTGCATTATAAATTTCTACTTTTATTAATTCGATTTGTCGAACTTTTTTAGTATTTTATTTGCAGGCATAAAGCATCAAAAGTGACAGCAAGGAATGCAGGATTCCGTTCTATGGCAGATGATGCTACCTTTGATGTTTATCCCTTGCAACTCCGTCTGTCTGCTATCCGAGAAGCAAATCTAATGACTGCTAAAATAAGTAAAAAGGTCTGCCTTACTGTTCTTGCTTTTTGAATTTTTCTTGTGCTGGTCTGTGCTATTATGTTGATTTAGTCACCCATGGTTGTGTTATATAATACTTTATTTTGTCCCTGATATCATGTAAGGGAATTGGCAAAGGAAAAGATTTATATAAGGTTGTAACCTTAAAATGTAGAAATACAGATGCACCTCAAAAATCCATCAGAAAAGGTTGTTTTAATGTTAAAAAACCCTCTAATTGTTCATCTCAACATCGAGATGTATGAATATAAAAAAAAAAAAGATTTTGAGTCCTAGAAATAATGCATCTTGCAACACATTATCTAGACCGTCTATTTTAAAGATTTTCATATATTTATCGATTTACTTGATTTTAACCAATTTTGGAGTTTAAAATTTTATAATTAGATATAAAAATAAATTTTCAGGTAATTCTAAGAATTTTTGACACCAAAATTACTCGTCATGATAAAATTTGGAGGTACGCTTTAAACCATATAGAAACCGCACCCACTGGCAAAATATGTTTTTATATGGTATGGTACATGTTTATATTCTGTATAAATGCAAACAGGTCGTCAACCATCCAGTGTCAGCAATGGATGGTTGGGGGACATCATTTCTCCACTCAAAAGCCCGTCAAATATATTTTGACAGCATGGCATGATAGACAAATATGCACGAGTTTAGAGAGTACTAGAATATATGATGGACTAGCAATACCATGACAGATTCTTTTTTGTTATTGAGGCTATCTAATAAGACCTTGTTTCATCGATAAAAACAAAGATCAAAAGTGGCCAATCTCGCGTGGAATGTTCCAATGTCATTGTATTATTGTTCGACACATTAGCTAGACGAAATCATCATAATTAATCTGATAATCTCTGTCTTTTTCTCGCCAAGCTCTAAAAAATTGCCAATGTGTAAGTTATATGTGGAACGTTTTATCGTCGGCCATGTTCAGTGTAACATGGTCACTCGCACAAATATTGATGCCCTACATGTATTGTGTTGTCTGATATAGTAACTAAAAAATTGTTGGCATGGTTACCATAGATAATGGGTTTTGTTAGGCTACATCACTTGTAGTGTAGACCATTAAAGTGCTCAACATTTTTAGACATTTAGATACTCATATCCTATAGTATAGTAACTTTTTGTTTAGGGGTATTTCAAGTAATTAGTCAAGGGTAAACTAGAAATTTCTAATAAAACCAAATGCATTTATTAACAATAGTGGACAATGACACCGCCCATATGGCGTGGTGACATCATCCACAATATGCATTAATTGTTCTTAACTACTAATAAAATGTCACTATTTTCTTATAAAAATATCCATTTTACCCTTCTTAATGTCCCTATTTGAAAAATTTTGTATTACAATTCAAGGGTATTTTAGTGTCAAAAAATCTTGAGCACTTTTAGGGTCTAGACCACCAAGTGGTGTAACCTAGCAAAACCCATAGATAATATGAATGCAATATAATTATAATATTTCCATTAAAACATAATAATACGTTATAGTAGTATTACTGTTGGTAATTTTTTTTGAAGTTATGCCATAAATTTATTTATCTATATCATTAGTGTGTTAGTGTGTGTGTGATTGGGGGGTTCTAATTGTTGGGGAGAAAGACAAATCGAGTGATACTCCATCAACAAGCACAACGGAACAAAGCAATTCTTCTCCTCTTGAGTGAACCTAATAGGAAGTAATCAAGTAGATAGCAATATATCAAACACATTAAAGGCAATTATTAAGTTCCCAAATCAGCAACCAAATGCACCACAAACACATATATAAACACCAACAGTTTTTATGTGGAAAACCTCCCCAAAGTGAGGTGAAAAACCATGGGACCGTAGTCCACCCAAAGCTTCCACTATCACCAGATAATGAGAATACACAAGAGTCTTCTCTTGTTAAAACTAGAGGCATACAACAATACCAATCGTCAAGAACAATAGATTCTTGGCAAATATCATAAATAAGATGAAGTCCAAAAAGAGAAAATTGAAGAGATCTCACCAAAACAAACGCAGCAAAGACGACTCTGCAAAACTAAGTCAATCACACCGTTCAGAATGAACAACCATGTGTTGCGAACCTGCTATCAAAATTTCAGGTCGATCAGACCACGAATGGCCATTCGATCGAGCTCTTGATGATGATTGCACTATGCCTCAAAAAACCTAGAATTTTCTTCTCTCCCTTCTTCTCTCTCTTCTAATCTCACTTGATGAAAACGAATGAGAAAAACCCTCATTTAACATATAATGGGCAAAATGATTGAAATGCCCTTACTCCATATGGGATTTACTCCATGTGGGCTTTACCCAAAAAGAATGAACTTCGGGCCATCCTCCACATGGAGGGAAACCCCAACCCAACACTAATAAAGGTGAGGACCTTAACCCACCCCGAGCCTGGATAAAAGAGTTGGGTTGTGTTAGGTTGGCAGTCAGCGTTGAACTTTGCTACCTCTTATCATGAATCATGAAGAGGAACATGATTTAAGTAGCCAATCCCAAATAATTGGGATAAGGCTTGCATGACGACGATGATGATGATGTTCGTGTGTGTGTGTGCATGTGCGTGTGCATGTATGTCTATTTGTTGGATCCCAAATTTTGCACCCAGTCATCTCACCTAGGCAATCAAAATAAACATGAAAATTGAAATCATAGAAGAAAGGGAGAAAACTAGTCTGCGATTTTTAATGAATGAAGGTCGCCCAGTTGATGGACAATGGATCTTGGCCTTCAACAACTCGAAATCCTTTTTATTTATTTCTCTGAAAATTGTTTATTTTTTAATCAAAGGTATGCAAGATTTCAGCCGATATAAAATGCGTTCTATACTATAAAGCCATTTATCTTTGGTATAAGGAGGTCACAACTCATAATTACCCCTAGCCCTCACATGTCAAATCCGATAACTTGGGGTGTGTCACAAAGTTCAAGAAAATTTATTTTGAACTTTGAGCTTGATCAATGGCTCATTTGCACTTGCTCGATTTCAATTCTAATGGCCAAAAGTAATTGTGACCTCCGTGTGTACCAAAGATAAATGGTCTTAATGTACTTCTTCAAAATAATTCCCTCTAGCAATGTGTTTTAGCCAACAGGCATATAGAATCTCTTCTATGATGCAAAGTTTACTGCTATGATATGGTGTAGACTTTAAAATTAAGGAACACTTTATTGATACATAGAATTCTCAGAATATACATAACCAAATTTGATAAAATCATATTCAATATTAACCAGTTCACCCGACCTTGTTTATGGTATAAAAATTTTAACGAGTAGGGCCATGGGGCAGCACTGATTACATAACATAGAACTTTGACCTCTAGCAGTTATTTGTGTTGTTGCTACTGGCATTTATAATTATTAATGTGATGGAACCATTGGAATATCATAGCAGAGATTTGAACTTTAATTGGATAGATTTCAGCACACACGTGGGCAGCCATAATTTCCAGTCGTTGTGCAACATATACATGGCGAGGGCAGCATAGAACATTGCATAATTTGATTCTTTAGTTGTATTGGTTCCATTGCACTTCTTGAAGTATTCAAACATTTGTGATACACCTATTGGCTTCTCTGAACTTTAAGTGGTTCATATCTGAACACAGGTTTCGAAGCTAAACAAATAACGGTTTCGAAGGCTTGGAAGTATATGATGTCCATATGTTTTGGACCTTCTTATGTCCTGCTTGTTTTGGTCTTCTTTGATATATTTTAATAATGGAAATCAAGATGATTTGGCTCATGGCTGATGTTACTCTGACCTGTATTGATGTAAGGACTTGTTTTACTGGGTAACGTTTGAAAAAATTTTCAAATTAAGACTCTTGTGGACCTTCTTTCCTTCTTGGAAACAAATATCCTGGTATGAATTGAGAGTTTATCCTAGTTTAATGGTATTGATTTTATCTATTTGTGATATTTATTGAACAAATTAGGAATCAGAGTTCTATAATTGAAATGTGATATAGAGATCTCACTCATATATTTCGTGCTAGTAATATGGCTAATCTATCCTTATCTCTTGGTTCTTTTAAGAACGAAAGTGATTTATTTCTTTTCACTATGCTTTTAAAAAATGTCTCGCAGGATAATGCTGTATATTACAAGGCGGCCTCCACGATTTTTAATTTGGCAGATGAACCTGTATGTTTCTTCTTTTTAAATTCAATTTCTTCCTTGTTTCTTGTGTGCTTTAGACTTTGCCGTTGGCTTTATGCTTATGTCTTGGTTCTGGAACATATGCGAATATGAGATTATTCTGGGCAAGCATATATGTTTTTCAACAATGAGGGAGATGAGGTGCCTATGCATTCTTCACGACAGATGGATCAAGAGGTGACCACCAATCTGACCTTATTTTTTCTTTGGTAATAGATGTTTTCTAAAGTAACATAGTAAACTGCAAGTTGGTAACTTGGAGATGTGGTAGTCATTTGGGACTTTGAGCCTACCTTATATTTTCTGGCTCATCATTCCTGCCATACTTGCACAATCCCACTTGATTGTATTACTACATACTTGCAGTATTGTTGTGCATATATGATTTGTAACATTATGTACTCAATGTTGTATAATTTGGAATATGATTCACATTTTTGGTCCTCTGATGTAACTGAGAATCTAAGCATGGCACCATCTTGATTTGCTTCTATTGACATTACTGTCTCTTTTGGTCGTCCTACTCAGTGATTCAAAAAGCAGTCCACCCTAGGCGCTCCAGGAGGCCTGGGCGTATCGCCTAGGCGGTACGGAGCCCGCTAGGCGGGCGCCTAACGCCCAGCCCTGGGCGGCCGCCTAGAGGCGGAAAATGCATTTCGTGAGGGCAATTTTGATTCATTTTTTTTATACTAAAAGGTCCAAAATTAGGGTTTTAGGGAGAGAATGCCCCCAAAAAACTAGTTTGTTGGTGATTTCTTTAATATCGAAGGGTTACTTAGAATTAACAAAACTTGATCAAAACATCACCTATTGATATAAGAATTAGTTTTTGATATTGTATAAATCTATTGGGGGTTTATTTGGAAGATTTTGAGACCTTGAATCATCTTTGAGGTGGAAGTTTGAAGATTGAGCAATCAAACTCAAAGTAAGTGATTTTTTATTTATTGCTTTAGCCTTTAGTAAATTGCATTATTTTTTATATGTCATCTTCGAGATCTAATAGAAGTGGTGATCCCGGTTGGAAATATGGCTTTAACCTAGATCTTAATGATAAAAATTGCATAAAATGCAAGTTTTGTGAAAAGGATACAAAAAGGGGCATAAACCGATTCAAAAACTTATCGTCGGTATCAGAGGGGATGTTGCACAATGTAAAAAGACTCATGATACTGTTAAAGAGGAAATAAAGAATTTTTTCAGTATTGCAAAAAGGAAAAAAGATGAGAAATTTACCTTTATAGCAGAGATTAGGTCTGGGGTTCGTGTCCATATTGATGATGATGATAGTGATGAGGATAGGTTTGAGGAGGGATGTCAAGTGGTTGAACAATCCTCCACTATTAAGGGAAAGAGAAAGGAAGTTGTAAGTGCTTTTGGTTTTGGGACTAAGAAGCCTTTGGTTAGAGGCCCTATTGATAGTTTTTTGCCTCGACTTGACCCCGAGGTTGCAAGAGAGAAGACAAAGAAGCAAAACCACCATTGAAAATAGAATCAAGAAGAGAGAGATATAACTGCTAATAATACTGCTACGTGGTTTTATGAGGCGAGCATTCCTTTCAATACCGCTCGCTTAAGCAGCTTCTATGCCTTGGTAGAGGAAATTGACCAATTTGGGCATAGGATGAAACCTCCAGTCCCATATGAGCTTTTAAAGCAGCTTTTGAAAAGGCGGTGAATGTCACAAAGGAAGCTGTAGCAGTTAAGAATGATGCACGCGCTCAGTATGGGGTTTCCATTACCACTGATGGTTGGACTGATGGGAAGAGAAGAAGTCAATTGAATTTGCTTGTGAATTGTCATTTAGGGATTTTTTTTTGAGGTCTATTGATGCCTCTGATCATAGTCATGATGCCTATTACATATTTCAAGTTATAGATAAGGGAATCAAGGAGGTTAGGGAGCATAATGTTGTACAGGTTGTCACAGACAATGTTGCAACTAATTTGTTGTGCATGGCTTATCCTAGAATCTTTTGAACACCATGTGCGACACATTGTATAGACCTCATGCTTGAGGCTATTGGCAGTTTAACAGAGATATTAGGTGCAATGACGAAGGCCAAGACAGTTACAAATTTCATTTATGGCCACCATCTCACCCTCAGCATGATGCGTAGCTTTACAAAAAAGTAAGAGATTGTGAGGCCTAGGGTCACGAGATTTGCGACCTGGTGTTTATGCTTAGATAACATACATTTAAGGAGAGTGTAATTGAGGCAGATATTTACCTCAGATGACTGAAGAGCATGCAAGTGGTCTAAGGATTAGGTTGGAAAGAAGGTGAGAGATATCATTTCTAAGGCTTTTTGGTAGAGGGGTGAATGACGCTCTTAAAGTATTTTTTCCTCTTGTTAAAGTCATTCGCATGGTTGATAGTGATAAGCCTTCTATGGGCTACATATATGAGGCTATGGAGATATGCAAAAGAGAGAACCGAAAATTTTGATGATGATAAGATCCGCTACAAGCCTGTTTGAGATGTTATTGTATGCTGCCATTGCTGCGCTTATATGGGTTATTTGGATAGAAAGGAATAATAGGATATTCCAGGGACGTTATGAACAGCTGCCTGCACTCCTACACAAGGTAAAGACTTTGGTAACCTTTTGGGCTACCAACCACAAAGTCTTTTGCGGGTTACATCAGCAAACGTCTTTCTAAGCCAATGGGGTAATATCCTTTTTCATCAACCAAAGAAATCTCAAAAACCTAACAATTGGCAACCACCCTTGAGAGGAACTATCAAACTCAATTTGGATGGTTGCTCTAGGGGCAACCCAGGGCTAGCTGAGGCTGGGGGTTTATTTTGAGACTATGAAAGGAATATTCTGCTCACGTTGCGGAATCCCTTGGATACACACACTGAAGCAATGGCATTGTTGATAAGGCTCAAGCTATTTAACCCCTCTTGAGGATCCCACCTGATAGTTGAAGGGGACGCATACAACATTACATCTTGGGCATCTGGAAAGTCTATACCACCTTGGTATATACTTTCGATATTTGAGGAGATTGAATTCATTTGTAGAGGTATCAGCGTTTCATGGAGGCATACATTCAGGAGGTCCAATGCGCTCGCTGAACTCATGGCCAATGATGGAGCCGATCTTTCACTGCCCACTCTCATGTTGTAAATAGGGTGCTATATAAACCCTCTCACCATTTTTGCTAAGCCAACTCATTGTTGTCACACGCATTGGACTCTTTTATGGCTTTTTGTAAAGGGACCACCTCACCCGTTAGGGTTCTGGTAGCTCCCAATTTTTTGTAGGAGACGCTAGACCCAACACTTGTATACACTTCTATCTTTCTTCAATGAAATAGTTAACTTGATCGAAAAAATTATATTTTATTCTATTATTTATTTATGATTTTGTTCTATATGTTTGCAGCCAATTGGTGGAGCCAACATGGGTGTAGTTCTCCAAATTTACAAAATTTGGCCGTTCGAATCTTAAACCTAACCTCTTCTTCATCCGATTGTACGCGCAATTAGAGTACTTTTGAAGGGGTAAGGCCGTAAGGTTAATAACTATTTTGTATAATTTAATTAATTATACATGAACCACAAACCATAGATATTTAGTTTCATTCATTTGATTTTGTTAGATTCATACAAAGAAAAGGAACATGCTTGAATCAAAGAGGCTTAATGACCTAGTCTGTGTCAAGTATAATCAATGCTTGAAGGACAGGTTCGCTAAGAGAAACCCTATCAGATCAAGAAGTATGGACAATGTTACGGAGTGGTTAATTGATGATGATGAGGTCGAGGGGCAAGAAGGATTGGCATAGGACATGGTCATGGATGCTTCAGGGACATCAACTGACCCGTCTAGGGCCACTAGGTCTTCTGCACAGAGACCAAGGGTGGAGAAAGAGGAGGAAGAAGAGGCAGATTCAGAAGAAAAGAAGGAGAATGAGGACGACCAATATATCGAGGCGGGTGACGACTCCGAGGAATATGATGCCAATGCAGCTAATCCTTATTTTTCTAATGATGGATGAATGTTGAAATTTGAATCTAGAATGTGGAACAATTATTAAACGTTGAAGTTTGAACTTTAAATCTTTGTGGTTTGTGGAACAATTGTGGTTTATGGATGGTGGATTTGTAGTTCCACTGGTTTAATTTGGTAATTTGGTTTGTTGTTGTTGTTGGTAAATTTTAAGTTTTCCATTTGGTATTTTAGTTGGTTCATTGGTTGGTACTTGGTAAGTTGGTAAATTTTAAGTTTTAATTTGGTAATTGATAGTATAATTTGAATTATGATGTGTAAATTACTAATTTTCATTTTTTATACAATATCTTAACTGTTTATACTGATAGAATCCTTACTGGATTGAACTGGGCCGCCCAGGTTCTGAGTACCCGCCTAGCGCTTTTTGATACACTGGTTCTGCTGTTTTTGTTTCTTATTTTCTTCCTGAATATATCAATTTTAATATTAAAAATTTTGGTTGTCGTCGTCGTCGTCTATTTTTTTTATTTGTTTGTTGTTGTTGCATGAAACTTTATACAAGAATTTGCATCATAACTTAAGTATTGAGCTTTCAGGTTAAGGTCAGTTGGATACAAAATAGATTGAATCACTTGGGAAGAGTTTTTATATTGATTTATTTTTTCATATTTTAATTTGGTTATTTATATATGGGCTATGTTACATAGAAATAGACATGTGTGTTTACTCATGACATAGATGCAAGTGTCAAAAATGTGAACCCAAAAAGAGACATCTGGACACGATATGTCTAATACAATATTTGGGTGCCTACATATGTGTGCATGTCTACATAAACATATTGAAATTCATATGTAGTTCACATTTGCATTTACATATTCAATAATTCATATGTCATAACAATAGTAAAGCATCACCTAAGAATTAAATTAAATTAATGGTCCAAAAAATGTTACTTTATGAATCATAACTTTATTTGTCAAAAATTTCCAAATACTCCAATGCAAGGTGTCAAAACAATGTGAGAATAAACGAAAGCTATTAGCTAATAAAACTATTAGTTAATAAAAAAATTTATTACATAGCTATTGAATAGGGTTCTAATGTATTCATCCAAAATCGCATGATCGCACCACTCGCAACCTCAATATAAAAATGGCATTTTTGAACAAAGAAATGCCAAATTCCAAATCCCAAACATGTCAAGAAAAAGGGACACACCATTAGACACTCCATAGAAGTGTCGTATGCATTTCTAGAAATATCGACACACATGTCTGTGTCCACCAAGTGTCGACACGTGGTCAAACCTTGGACACGTACGTCCATATTTCATAGCATATGGGTGAGGTTTGTATAAGGTGCCCACCTTATACTATGCATGTAAGGCACACCATTAAAATTTGCCGAAAGATGTAGTTATCGAAAACTTTATGATGGTTTGAAAATCCATGTTCAACCCTTTTATGAAATTTAAAATCTAAAAATGGTGTAAAATGAATATTATCTATGTACACTTCAAAATCTTGAAAATAGACATTCCAGATAACTTGTTACAAGATGAACTATTTGTAGGACTTGAAATTCTTGTTTTTTTATTTGTATCATACATCCCCATGTCGAGAAGATCAATTGAAAGGATTTCCAACTTCAGAACTCCCTTTTCTACTGGATTTTTGAAGTGCACCTTACTTCTATAATATAAGGTTACAACCTTATATAAACTTTTCCCTTGACTTGATGAACCTTACTCAACTGGACTTAGGCTTGTCGAATGTTCAGATCCTGAGTCTTCAATCGCTGTTGTAATTGGTAGATGGATTTTAAGAACATACCCAAGTCGACTTGGACTTAGGTCAGGTACTCGGGCTCAACAGCCTGCCAAGCCTGGAACAAGGTACATGTATGTACCCTGTATAGTAATCGGGCAAGTATTACACATATGCGTCTTACTACCATGCAAACTTGGGCCGACCTGCTTGAGTTTATGCAGTACTCGAGTGAGTAGCTGCAGTACTCGCTTGAGTGCTAAAGTAAAGACCTGGTTCTTTTTGTGACTGTGAAAATGAGTAGTTTACGTTTGGGTGAGGGTGATCTTCTCTTTGAGCTCCTGGCGATGAAAGAGTCATTGTGGGTTCGTTGGTTGGATTGGTACTTCACTGTGTGAAGTCAACCTGTTTGAGGAGGGGAAATTCCTGTTTTGGTGCAAAGGATGACATGATAAAGCCGAAGAGCATCCAAATTGAAGAAGACCCTGTCGAAAACCTAATTCCATACATATTTTGTTCTAGGGCAGTACAAAAATGTTTGTAGAAGAGTTGAGTTATGTCCACAACAGTTGCAAGGGCTTGTACATGTCTCATTTTAGAGGGCCTGCACAAAGTTGATTTGAGTCAACTTTGTGCCTTAGCAAGGGTTTTGCCTGATTTATCTGTTAGAGATTTGATCTCTAAGGCTATTTTTGTGTTCCATATCCCACCACTAGCATAATTTTCACAAAACAATACAAAAAATAGGATTGAAGAGATTCCAAATTCGGATATACTATTCATCAAGATTTTTCAAGAGCTTAATTTTCCTAGATTAGGACTTGTACTTCAGATCTAGTCTCGTGTTCGATTGGGATTGTGTGAGGAAGCTTTGACAAGGATTTGAGGCTTCAATTCGCATTGAGCCCGAATATTGGGGGATCAGCCTTGAAATTTTGTGTGTCTTACTTTTCTAATTGAAAATTATAAAATTGGTTTATATTTGATGAAAACAATTATAACTGATTTATAACATTTCCTATATACTTTTACATTTTTTTAAAATTTTGTTGTTATTTTTCCCTTTTTGTATATTTTCTGATTTTGCAATGTGATAACTTCAACTTTTTTTATTTCATTTTTTATATGCTTTTTTGTTTGTCGCTTTGGATATTTTTTTTGTACTCTTTCCCTGTGTTTCTCATTTGCTGGTTTTTTTCATTTCCCAGTCCCTTTTTTCATGGCAAGTCAATCAAGACTTGCCCAAGTTACTTTGCTCGGCAAGGGGTTGAATACCTTTGCCCGAGTTGTAGAATCGAATGTTTTCGGCAACTGTTAAAAAAATATGTTTACTCATATATCATAAAAATAGGCTCCGTGCATAATCATCTTTTTATGCAGCTAAAATGATGCAGGACAAATTTGTTATAATTGTTATTTTTCTTAATTTCAAAAGATGTATATTCTCATTTTAGTTTTAGGGTTTACGTTTCGGGCTAGGGATTTTAAGTTTTATTTTATTTAATGTTCCAAGGTACTGTTTATGTTACTATTCATGGGTACTGTTCACATATTACTATTAACAGGGGTATTTCTGGAATTTCAGTATTGTTTAGGGTTATTTTAGAGTCTTACATATTTATCTTCGGTCTCAGGTTAATTTTAGCGTATCATAAGTTTATAAAAAGATTGGATGTCAAATTGTGGGATGCTTATGTTATTGGAATGAATTTTAGTTTATGAAAGAAGAAAGTTCTTCTGGTTTTACAGCCATGCTTTTTCTTTATTATTGCTAATTTTTAGTTGTTTGCGGTTAGGGAAATAAGGTAGATTTAATTTCCCACCTTGTTTATAGTTGTTCGAGGTTTGGGAAATAGGGTGGATTTAATTTTCTACTTTACTTACTGCATCAATTTGATATCAGAGCACAATTTTCTTCAACAACGAAGCATGGAAATTACAATTGGATCTAAGGTTTACTGATTTTTGCCAAAATTTTGCCAAATCAACTTGGATCTTGTTGTTTTCAACAAGTTTTTATTGATTATATATCGAGGGCTTGTGATTTCGGCAAACTCATGGTAGCGAGAAAGAACCGTGGAGGGGGATTTCATAGCCCCACTTCATGATCCCCGAGATGAAGAAATTGATGAAATTAAAAAGCAAGTTTAGAAGCTGGCGCAGCAGTTTGCAAGCATTACTCATGGGCATGACAGTGATCTTTTTGCCCAGGAAGATGTCAAGTATCACCCTTTTCATCACCGTACTTCATGGAAAGAGTTGAGGAAAGAGGAAAGTGATAGAAGACTTAGACGTGGGGAACATCACTCTAGAGTTTTCGATTTGTAGGACATTTTTAATTTTGACATCGTTTGTATCGAAAATCAGCAGGTTGTAGATTGGATTCTTCCACCCATCTTCGATACGTACGTAGATTAAGAATAAGATCTTGTAGGAGATCCAAACTACAATGATGATCAAGATTTCGTGGTTAAACCAATCTTTGACGAAGATGAAAATGAAGATCTCAAGGATATCGAAGAAGTGGAGTATTAAAGAGATTAAGGGTATTGGAATCAATATATAACTGCAGAAGTATGGACTAATAAACAACAAATTGTGGCCATGGTTTTAGAGTGTAATGAAATAAATGTCGAGAAAGCCTCAAAGGCTAGAAAATTGAGTTTGAAGTTTCCTATACAATTTTCAATTTGCGTTTAGGGATAACCAAATTTGGTAAGTTTATATCAATTCCTTAGTATACTTACCAGGATCCGTTTCTTGGGGATTTCTTCCTACTACGAATAATATTTGAGGAGACTAAGAAGGTTGAAGAAGGCAATTTTGATGCTAAATTCATCTTAGCACATTTTTAAACTCGAGGATGAGTTTTCTCCAACTAGAGGAGAATGATGGAAGAAAAAATTATTATAATTTTTAATATTTCTTTAATTTCAAGGTATATATATTTTAATTTGAGCTTTAGGATTTATTTTTTGGGTTTTTAAGTTTTCTAGGGATTCTAAGTTTTGTTTATTTATTGTCACAAGTACTGTTTATGTTATTGTTCATGAGTTACTGTTTGCAGGGGTAGTTTTGAAATTTTATAATTTTTTAGTGGTATTTAGAGTCTTAAATATTTACTTGGGCGTCAAGCTACTTTTAGAGTTTCATAGGCTTAGTTGGATGTCAAATTTTGGGATGCTTATGTTATTTGAGTGAATTTCAGTTTACGAAAGAAAGTTCTTCTCTTGTCATGTTTTACAGCCATTATTTTCTCCATTATTGATGGTTTTTTATTTTTTTTGAGGTTGGGGAAAAACGGTGGGTTTAATTTCCCACCTTTCCTTCTTGCATCACTGAACATGGCATACAACTTATGACCCTAGTTATATCACTCATCATTATCCTCAATAAGGCGTGCTAGTGATTGGTCCACAGTCATATGAAAATACGATGTTTAAAAGATTCGATCTTAGTCTATCTGTAATCAACTATCAATTAAACTAATGCTGATTATTTTGACTATGGTCTATAAGTAGCACTTTCTAACTCATAATTTAGGAGAAGGTCGTTGAACACTCTCTGACATTAATTACATATTTCTCGATAGCTACCAAATTGTGACAGTGTTCGAAGACTTGAGGACCCAGACATTGGACATTCTTGAGTTTGACGTGGCTCATGCTTAGAAGTTCAATTTGCAAAAATTGTAAAGGAATGGGCTTGAGAAAATCCTATAGAGAGCTGAGGTTCCCTAGTGGGTCGCCTGAGTCCCTTATAGGACTTTCCATGTCTTTTAAGTGTGGCTTATCCTTGCTATCACGTGCCCTTTGGAGCTGCTGGAATCTGAAGGTATTTTCCAGTTTCCAGTGATTTTCTTTTCTTTTCTTTTCCAGTGATTTTCTTTCCAGTTTCCAGTGTTTTTCCAGTTTCCAGTGTCCTGTTCACATGTTCCTATTGCCAGTTTGTTCTTGGATTTCTTTACTGTTCTTTGAAATTTGTTAGAGTGACAGTTTTGGCATCTTCTTATTCTCTACTAAAAGATTTAAACTGCATGCACGGAGTACTATGTTTTTGAGGATTCCTGATCTTTTGTCAATATGCTTCTGAAACCGTTATTCTAATGGTTCTTGTTGTGGTCTTTCTATTCAGATGCTTCTGGAGTTGCAGGTTTATGGACTGCCAGAATGACAAGTAAATGTGAAGGAAAGAAAGATGATTTAGCAATTCAACCGTATAAATCGGGATTTTCTCTCACAAGTGGGATGTTTATGGGCAATGGAAGCATAGACAGTATTGATACAGATTTCAGTCTTGCAAACCCTTTGAATTTAACATTCAGTAGAAGCTCTGGGAGAGAGGGTTCTTTGGGTTTAATAGGACTGCATAATCTGGGAAACACTTGCTTTATGAACAGTGCACTTCAGTGCTTGGTGCACACGTCAAAGCTTTTTGATTACTTCCTTGGAGATTACAGCAATGAAATTAATCAGCACAATCCATTGGGCATGGATGTAAGTTGTCTTGGATTTTTTACATTATAGTTTGGGGCATTTCATTGATTGACCATTCTCAAAAAAGAAAAAGCATTTCATTGATTGAAACACTTTTGTAGATATGAAGATGCATTGTAATTTTTCATGTACTTTTTGGTTCTGGTGCATTTGTTGTTTTACTTGGTGGGAATGTATTGAATTTCTATCTCTAATTTTTATTGTTTCCTCACTTTTCTCTGTTTTCTTAACACAGGGGGACCTTGCTCTTGCATTTGGACAGCTAGTGAGGAAGTTATGGGCTCCTGGGAGAACTCCAGTTGCACCACAAGAGTTCCAAGTCAAAACTTTCTCGTTTTGCACCGCAATTCAGTGGCTACAACCAGCATGATTCGCAAGTTAGTGATAGTAGCCTTGTTAAAAGCTCATTTTTGGGATTAGTTGTAGACAAATTGGAATTTCTTCTTACTTTCATCAAAAAGATATTTTTTTGTTACTTTGTAAACTTATGAAATTTTGTTATTTGCTATTTTGGTAAGGCATTTGTTTATTTGTGAGTGCTCATTCTTTAGGAACTCCTTGCTTTTCTGTTGGATGGGCTCCATGAAGATCTAAATCGTGTGAAAAGCAAACCTTACATAGAAGCGAAGAATGCAGATGGTCAACCAGATGAGGAAGTTTCTGACGAGTATTGGCATAACCACCTAGCCTGCAATGACTCAATAATTGTTGATGCATGTCGAGTGAGTCCTGTGTCAGTTATCTAATGTGCTTGGGTGGTATTGTTTTTATATGCTCTACGACAAGTGCATGCCACTCTTCGACTTTGCGTAATGTATTGCAATTGAAGATATTTTGGCTCCAATAAAATGTTACATATGTTGTATTCTCACTTTTTTGCTGGTTAGTAAGATTTGGGCTTCAGGTTTTCATTTGTTTCAATGTGGTCTTGCTTTCTTTTGAGAGAAAATCTATGGCCTTTGCTACCCATTGTACACCGTATGCATAGTCTCTAAATTGTACAATATCTATGATGGGAATTCTGGTTCAGGTTGTTGCCCAATATGTAAGTGTGCATCTTTGTTGAGCATGAGAAGGGGTGGTATAGAGGGAATGGGAAGGTGGGTGTGGGCAAACAATAAGAGAAAATGCATGCTTCAGGTTATTAAGTAGGAAACATTGAAGTTTTGAGCTTTAAGATGCATGGTGCTACAATTTGTTGCTGGAAATGGTGGGCTGGGGTGGAAGGAGAAATAGTGTGGATGTAGTTAGAGGAATGTCACTTGGTTTTCTGCTTGAGGAACTGGAATTGGTCAATGTACCCAGATGAAAGAAATCTTCAGGATAGAAGACCAGGGGGGTCAACTCTGAAAATTCTGTTATTCTAGTGCATTATGCCTAGGAGTCACGGAAATACTGTCTAAGGGTTAATAGTGAAGGTCCAACTCGAGTGAATGCCATAGAGGACCTTGGGTTTGGTTTGCTGCGGTCAATACATGCCCAAGATAGGCCTGACCGTGGCCAATTTTAGAAGAGCAACCTAATTGTCTCCATTTGCCCTCAAATTTGGTAGAGGAACATATCAAAACTTCAATAGCCTGTCTACAAAATTTCAGGATGTTTCAAGTATCAGTTGGGATGATATTCAATTGCTTGTGGTCAAAATAGCCCAAACTATAGCCCGTCCACAAACAACTCTAGAAAGTGACCTTCCTTGTGTCTGATCAATCTGAAAATTGGTGCATGTGCTAGAGGAGGTCCCAAAACATGTTACACCAAAATTTTAGAGTTCCCCTGCTATGAGAACGAATGTTGATTGTTGGCTAGCACATGACAATGGCAAAAAATCAAAATCGCCATTTTATAGTTCTGTTTGAGCTTGAAATTTATTGAGTATGCTGAGAAATATCTCGAAAACTTTGGACACCATTAAGGGCATCTGTCAAATTGATCTCCAGTCAAATGCCAGGAAGAGCCGCCTGGCTGCCATTAATTTTTGAAATGGCTAAAAGCTGGGATTTATGATATTCTTTTTGTGTGAAAATTGGCCGAGATGTGGGGGAATGTCTCAAGAAGCTGCTCCCCAAATTTCATGTAATTTAGAGGAATTTATGATATCCATCTCTTCCTCGTCTTAGTATGGAGCTTGACTCTGACAAAGATTGAATGCTAGGTTGCGGTCAACAAAACCACCTTAATGGTCTGATCTTGAGTTGAAATTTTGAAGGTTAGTAGGTAAATGTCTCAAGACCTACAAGCGGTCTCTTAAATTTTGACCACGCCCAATTTTTGTTGACCCTTCTTATGATTTGTGATTGGGCCAAAATTTTGTAGGTTGATAGAGGATTGTTTTGAGGAACGTTCCTGCTAAATTTTATGCAATTTGGACTCTATTTAAGGGTTATGCCGCATTCTTTGCTGCTAGAAGGAGCTGCCTCACAACAGCCAATTTTAAGGGTAATATATCTCCCAATTTTTGGGGCTATTTTTTGGGATCCTTGCATGAATGGGAAGCTCTTAATGTGCCTTAATGCCCTAGGAAAGGATTGGGCTAATAAATTCTCATTTTTTAAATGATTTCGAGAAGAAAACCTCTGCTTTTTGCAGCCTACTCTTGACCACAGCCAATTTTCGATCTCTGAGAATCTTGCACCAAATCCAGTCAAATGAATGCAAGATTGTTGGAGAATCTTTTCTAGATAGATATTAACTATTTTGGAACAAATCCAAGCTATTAGAAGCCTCGGACATCGCTTGACCATGATGATATTTGAAAATTCATGCTTATCGTTTTGGAGCATCTGATGGACAAGCCCAAGATTTCCTTGGTATTTAAACTTGGGTTAACCATCAAAGGGCAACAGGTTGATTCTTCATGCTTTAAAAATCCTTAACAAATGGTTTTGAGGAGTGAGAAGTTGGGCACTGTTAGCCTTCGATTTGGAGCACTTTTGGATCTATGATAGATGTTCCCAAAATCGTTTTTTTCTTTGTGGTTTGTTCATCTAGTATTTTATTGTCAAAATATTGAAAAAGGTGTGGTGTCAAGCGTGTCAAACTTAGGGGTAGGATGATGTGAGTATCACCAATATGTGTGTGTAGAAAACGATAACATAGGCTGCCCAGCCTATGGAGTTATATAAACTGGACAGCCGTGATCTAATTTTAACAGATCTGGCATCCAAATAGATGGGCACCTTTTGATATTTAAGTGGTTTTGTAAATCCTATTGACCTGCAATTTTGGGGACATGCATGTACTAAGCTGCACCTAAAAATATGATAGAAATTTATCTAATACCCTTTTATGGTGCATGCTGGCTGTCCATGTTGGTCAATCTCAGCTCTCTGGCCTGTACTGTTTCACAGCCAGCCAAACCGTGAAATCTCATGCGTACAAAATTACATATTGAACAACATCATACAAATAAAGCATAGGTGTCTATGTGTTTGCGGGAATAATGTATGTGCACATCTATGGTTTACTTGTATAATGCTCTTCAGTAAGTAATTTTTTACCCATGCAATGTAAAGGATGTTACTCATTAAAGAATGTTCAGCTGGTTTGTTTTGGTTTTCAAGGCTATTGTACCCTGTGTCAGGATTCATTTGCAGGGGATAAAGGCAACTTCTTTAAAAATTTAGCATTCTGTTCTGCCAAAGAAATTACAAATTGTTCAAAACCCTAGATTTTGGTCCTATCACAAAAAAAATATTGGGGCAAAGTCTGGATGGCACTTTCTTCTATGTTTTAGTCAAATTTCATTCATTGTTTTTGTTGGTTAGGTTCAATTTTTGGTATAATTTGACTGAAATTTCATGGAATTATAGTCATAAGTTTGGCCCAATATCAAAGCTGTCTCAATAACTGTAAGGTTTTTGCCAATATACTCTTAAACTGCCTCGGCCAATATGACCCGAAATATTTGCCCCAAATATTTGCCAGGATATTTGAACTGTGATTTAGGTTTATGTGATATGCGCATCTAAGTTCATTTTTTCTTCCCCAGGCACACATGCAACATTCGAGATGAGAATCCATTTTTTGAATGTCATACATGAGTCCAAGGGAAAATGCTGCGTGTGGTTTAGGTCAATGAATAACTCACTACTTACTTTGTTGTCGGTTTATGTTGTCTGCTTCACACTACAGAGCACGTTGATTTAGCCGACTAGTGGAACACATGCATAGGGCTCGCCTTTGTTGCTGCAGTAAGGATTACCGACTCATCATAACCATGCACACTGCTGCGAGCCTTGAGAGGAGGATAGTTTTGTGAGCTTTTGGAGTGGAATTAGTACTCATTGATCTGGCTATGGGGATAAAAGGTGATCTTCAAAAGGCAGAAGAGCTATTGCAGAAGATACCTAACTCTTACATGCTTCAGCAGTTTGAAAATCCTGCTAACCCTAAGGTATAATGATTCTTTTTCTTTTTAATTAAATTTAGGACTGTGAGGTGGTAAAATCTGGGTGAAATTTTGTTTCTAGATTGATTTTCATCGGTTTTATCATTCATATTGTCTATGCAAATCCATTATGAGACCACTGGACCTAAGAATTGGAAAGGTTTTGGTGGCAAAATTGATGCCTATGCCCTTGTTTCTGGGGTCAGAACTGAGGGCACTATTACTGGTGCAGGGTGTTACATGAAGGTGAGAAATCTTGACGAGAAGATGAGATCCGAAACAAGTACCCCTAGTTGTTTAATTAATCGAGACAATATTTTGGGGACAAAATCATATTTTTAAGGGGGGGATGATGTAACGACTCAAGATTTTTCTGAGTCAGAGAAAAGGAAAGGACACGCTCGGTAGGAGTGAGAGGCATTGCCGTCGGTGAAGTGAGGGAGTAACGCTGGCTATGAAGTAAAGGGAGCAGTGCCACGCGTCTAAGGGACCAGCGCCGTGCATAAACAGATGAAAGAAGTAACACCGCGTTTGTGAAGGAGTAACGCCGCGTGCATGGAGAACTAATGTTGCGCGCATAAGGGAGAAACGGCGCGCGCGTGGAGGGGTAACGCCGTGCACGTGGAGGAGTAACGCGGTGCGCGTCGAGGAGTAACGCCGTGCGCGTGGAGGACTAACGCCGCGCGCATGAAGGAGTCACACCACGCACGTGGAGGACTAATGTCGCGCGCGTAAGGGAGAAACACCACGAGCATGTAAGAGGAAAGACTTACGCCGTGTGCGTTTAGGCTATCGTCGTGTGCGTTTAGGCTATCGCCGTGTGCATAGTTGAGCAATGCCGCTGGTGTAACACTGCGCGTGATTTGGGGTACTGCTGTGCATGAAGCAAGATTGCCACCTGTTGGATGCATGCTGCCGTGTGCGCCTTTTGTCAACCTGCATGCCATTAGAAGGCCACTCTAGGCTTGCACCTTGGAGTATAAAGTCTCATTTTCTTTCTCTACACTTTACATTTTGGAGCCCAAGTTCAGCCCTTTTGTGCCATTGTTTGAGAGCTTTAGAAGCTTGGTGAAGTGGATTGTGGAAGGAGATTGGGATCACCATTGGGACCCAAAGGTAAGTAGATCACTACCTTGAAGACCCATGAGCATGAAAACATGAATAAAGCACCGTTTGACCTTAGTTTGAACATAAGCATGTGCAAAAATGATGACTGCATTCTTCAGAAAGTTTGCCTTCTTTTGCATGGTGAAAAT